GGAACAGGGTGAGGCAGGAGGAAATGAGGCACAACAAAAGAAGGGAAGTTTCTTTTTCCTTCTCCTTCCTTTTTTTCTTTTCGAAAGAAACTTCTGCTAAGGTGGTTTGAAGTCTTTATCTTGTATCTGAACCACCACCCACCCTTGGGAAAAATGCCACCATCTGATGAGATTTTGTCTTTCTGCCTCAATATTTTATCCAAGAAAACACTTTGGTGAGCCAAAACTATCAAAAGACATGACTAGAATCTTATTTCTCACACCGCAGGTTGAAGTATGTAACATTTTAGCAAATGGAATCTGCCCATCTTCAAGGAAAGAGGACTAAAACTTTTAACTCCTGCACTTTTAAATTATGATTCAATCTCTATAAAGCAAGGCAAAACAGTGAAGGCAACAAGGAAATTACTATCATAACTGAATCTGATCTTAAGTGGTGATTTCAATTTTCTTTTACTGTTTTTTTCCTCCTTCTCTGCTACGAATACCAAATTTTCTCAGATCACAGAACAAGATCAACTCAATAGACTTCTCTTTAGACGCAGAATGATGTGGAAAACAAAACCAAGGGAATGACAGGAGGAGGGAAAGATATTTGGGTTCTTTTTTATTGCCAATTAAACAAGTGAATACAAACCACAATTATAAACTTTCAGTTGACACTGATACACTCAGATCCTCATCCTTTCTAGCTGCTAGTTAGTGTCAGTCACTAGTAAGAACAGTCACTTTCCATAAGTGAGCATTATGGCCCCCAAAAGATGAATTCCTAAACCAAGAACAGCTTTACTCTAACGGGAATTACCTAAATTCTTGAATGTAAAATATTCTGAATGCTAACATTTATGTACATAGCAAAAACATGCCCTTATCATGTGTTCTGTATTTGGTAAATGCTCACCCACTATAAAACGGTCCTTCCGCCTGCCTACCCACACCCCCAACCACCTCCCGATTCCTTCTGTATGGGAAAATTACTGATGGACTGTCATGTGACAATATTAGATTTCTTTACAAAATGAGAAATATTTCAGGAATTGCAAAATGTATTTAAACACTATTCTTTCGGTCATATTAATGGTAATCCACAGATAAATCATTTCTTAGGAAGTCTTCTTTTAATAGTAGCAGCAATAAAAAAACTACCAAGTGCCTACTCAATGAAGTGCTGGGTATGTTCTTGTCCTTTATCTCATTTAATTAAAAAGCTAAAGGATCCTGGGAAACTTAGGCTTAACTTTTGACTTAAAACTTAAACTCTTCATCCTGTATTTTTGCAGTTACCATGTAATACATGCATATCAATATCAAGGTCATATACCCCCTCAAGACAAAATTCAGAGCAACGTGACATATACTCCAAATACTTTCTTCCCTTTAAGACATATAACCCCCACACTTGAGAAGGATACTAGAATTCTGCCATATTTTTGAATATCAAAAAATCTCTTTCAAAGCTATAGGTTATAAAGATTGCCAGAAGACAAATCACACATAACAATGGATAACTAACATTTTTTGATTAGTGTGTTAAGTGCTTTCCCCAGATCGACTATTTTCACAATAATCCTGCAAAGTAAATACTATTATGATCTCCATTTCACAAAAGAAGAAACTAAGAAATCTGGAAGGTTGAATCGTTTGCCCATCGTTGCTCCACTTGTGGGAGCTGGGATTCAAAACTCAGCCTGTCTGACCTCAGAGTGCAGACTCCTAATTCCTTGCTCACTTAACTACCTACCTACCTAACTAAACACTTATCAACAAATAAGTGATCTCTCACAAAACATGCAGGCATACAATCCATGGATGCACTTCTTTTTCTCTTCTCATATATAAAGTTTATAAAAATTTTAACCAAAAAGAACCATATGAATCAACAATCTAAGCTTCCTAATCCATCTTATTACCACTGATTTTTATTTTTATACAAAAATCTGAATCTAACTTAATTATGGAAAATGTTCTCTAAAAAGTTCTTCCTTTTAATTGTAACTAACCTATACCTAAGGCAAGATGTTTTCTTTACAGACATACCAGATAAATAATCTGTTTTCCCCAGCCATTCCTAATTCTTCACACTCTTACCATATCTTTTTGTGTCTTCTTTCTGTTTCCAAAGTCCACAATCTCTCTCGCTATGTCTACTACTCCTCCACCCCATCCCCCAACAAATGAACATAAATCTGGCTCATATTCAAATAAGGAAGCTGGAAAGGACTTTAGAGAGATCAGGTCATCTGATCACACTTACTCAGATGCAGACACACTCACCACCAAGACAATGTGGTGCCCCCTGAAGTTGGGCCAGCCCCAAGCTTCCAAATATTACTGGCCAAGGGAGGCTATGGGCTGTAATGGAGTGCTCTCCATTACAATTGCCTCCTGTTCCTTCTGTCTTGCCCACAGGAGGGACACCAGGTAGGAGAAAGGCCAAACAACGGCTATCTTTACTATTGGATATAGGGAATTTCAGCCCTCTTATATCCTTCTTTGCTCACAAAAAGGTCTTTTGGGTCCTGGCTTACTTGGAACCACTCTTGTCAATTCTCTTCTGTTCCACCACCTATAGTTAGGGAATTAAACCAACAGCTGCAACAATGGAAGCATTACCACTACCAGATAACTGATGAGGAAAGTACAGAGGCTGAGTTTAACACCCAAATAATACCCAAATGTCTTCAGAGGCTTTCTCTGTAATGATATGCAGAGCATATTACAAAAACTCCTGTTAGGATCACTGGATATGTGGCTCTAAAATGTCAAGAATCATTTTGAAAATTTGCTACCTACTGTAAGGAATTACAATTCTAACTCTTCATTCCAGAAGATTTATTGAGGTATTGCTTTGGATAAATATATACCAAGCATATATATATATATACTTGATATATAAATATACAAAGTTCAACACAAAGTTTATGAAAAGAAGAGCCATCCCTTATAAATCATATATAAAAGGGAGGGAGCAAGAGGCAAACAAAAACAAGAATACACAGAATTATCTAAAGAGAAAGATCATCTGTGATGGTTTCATGTAGAAAGAGCATTCAGTGGTGCTTTAAAAATGCCACTTGGTTTTCTCACAAATCAGCAGACATTCAAGAAAGATGTCTTTCAAAATTCTGACCATGACCTACTATAAGAAATATACACATACCCCCTCTGAAATGAAATTTTCACCAACCCTTACTTACCCTCATACTAATTACAATATATTCCGATTTTTTTGCAATACTGGTGATGACACAATAAATTGATTTCATGGCTCACCAGTGAATCACAACCCACAATTTGAAAACCTCTGTTCTAGAAGAATCACAACATGTCAGAATATGGAAAGACAAAGTTGCTAAACTTGACAAACTTGATGACTAATCACATCCCAACAGCATCAATGAACGTTTCAGGGTGATTTGAAATAAAAGTTAATCACATCCCAACAGCATCAATGAACGTTTCAGGGTGATGTGAAATAAAAGTTAAACATACAAAAAAAGTTCCAAGTAACATCTGTATTAAGAGCAAGTTTTGAATTAAGAGGAGAAATAAAAAGCAAAGGAGGAAAAATAAATGCTTGAGATATTGGAACAAACCCATTAGCTTTCATCTCCATTTCACAAACTATCACTAGAAAGCCTTTACCAAACACTGGAACAAATTACCGAATCTCCAGTATTTTATATGCTACTTTGCTCCTAATCGGATGTTCCATTAAAATTTTGAGATTAGCCATAGAAAGTAGGGGGTAGGAGGAGGTGGTCTCTGGATCTCTGAGGATCAATACTGATGCCATGTCCTAACCCTGGCTGACTTTCTACTCAGGACAGTGCAAACGCAGAAGAGAGAATCTGCTACTAAGGCCCCCTACTCCTTGCCAGCATTTGAACTAAGAACATTTGTCGGGCAACCCTATGGGACAGAAAGAGAAGTATTCTAAAATTGCCAGCAATTTTTAGCCAGACATCTTCCTTGGCCATTGTCTATAAATATAGACAAGCCAAAGTAAGGAGATTATTAGGACTGATCATGACTGATAAGTAACAGTAGGAGGGCAAAGTTGGAGAAAAAGGAAAAGCGAGGAGGGGATAACCATGTTCATTCTCCAGAAATAGAATCAAATACCTTTTGAATTGCTAACAGTCCTGTCACTCGAAGTGTAAGACTTCTTACACTGGTAGGTGGAATAGATAACCTGAAAATCTCTTAACTCTGAGAAATCTGTAATTATAAGTTTAAATCTCAACATCAGATAACATTTGGGGGGCATATTAGATGGTCTTTTAGGCACCCACAAAAGATAATCCCACCCATCAGCAAAAACTTGTAAAGAAGATCACATATCTCACCCCTTTCAAATCAGTGGCTATACAATGAAAAAAAAATTTAAATATTTCATTTTCAAAATATCGCCATCTGGTTTCACAGGCACATATATATGTAAAAATGTATCAAATTATACATTTTCAATGTATATTGTATATTGTTACATCAATTTTGCCTCCATAAAACTCTTTAAAAAAATACTACCACCAGCTTTCCATCTATGTAAACAAATTACTTCATTCCACTGATCAAAAAAGTCAACGTTATAGCTGCACCCTAATATTTTCTAAGTTTCTCTTTTAAATTTATTTTCCCTTATACTCAAGTTTTATTGCATTCTTTTCACTTTCCTAAATCAGCAATCATTGAAAAGCACAGTAACTAAGCTCTAATGAGCATCTAAATTTTTCTGATGCTATTCAAATGACCCGTTATTATACTATGGAATATATCTTTCGTTTAACAACTTAAATCACAGCCTAAAAATCTGCAGATTTCTTAATGATTTCATTTCCTTCTTTCCATTAGTTAAGGAAACTCATTTCTAGGCACTTCCATGCTACCATTTTATGGTTCAACTGTCATTTTCTTCTCTCATTCTTTACCCTGAAGCTATCTGAAATAAAATCTGGACTCGAAGAAAGGAATGGAGGGAAGCCAACAAGACTACTCACATCAGATTTAGAGGACATATTCTCCTCCACGTCGGAATCATTGGGATCCACAATATCATCAAATGGCGGTAAAGTTGATTTCTTCTTCTCTGATGTCTCACTTTCAATTTTGACCTTTCCCATCTTGACATGAGATTTATCTTTTATCTTATTTTTTTCAGCAGAACAAGTGAGTATCAGTGGTGGCGCACTAGAAAAACTTTTAAATAAAGCCTCTGAGCTACTCTTTTTCCTTTTTTTGGCTGAGAGTTCTTCAGAATCTGAAATGGGGGGCCTTTTACTAGGAGCCTTCTTATCTTGCTGTCCACTGGTGATGGTGAGTAAGTTACTGTCTGGTTTTGGCTCTTTTGACATGGGTTTCGGTTCCTTGAAGGCCATCTTAGGAACAATTTTTTCTTCTTTCAGTGGTTTATTTTCTTTGGGTTTCTTAGAGGATTCTTTGGAAGATTTGTTGTGATCCCTGGAAGGTTCTTTGAAGGCACTTTTATGTTCTCTGGAGTCTTTAGAAGGTTTTTCCTTGTGCTCCTTCATTAATTTGTGAGGCTTTGAAAAACTGGTGCTGCTGCTGCTGCTGCTGCTGCTGCTGCTGC